CCCCCCCCCCCCCCGAAATCTGAAGTGGGAAAATTTATGAAAGAAACACTGCCGTTCAATTTTTTCATTGAATATGGTGGGGGTTACGAATATGTGTTTTATATGGCCTTCAAAATAATGCTGAACAATTGGTAAATATGTTGTTTTTTTTTCTGCGGTAAACACGCCCTCTTACTGATGCGGCATCGGTTGGCCTTATGGGTAATCCGCCTTTTACTTCATCCACTTTCCATCTCTGCATTCATTGTTTTATCTTATTCTAAATATTTTTCAACAGATGACACTGTGTATCTAGGGGATCCCAACCTCCTAAAAGAATACGTACTGAATGAGCAAGGGCGAATCTATTCTGGCAACAAGAATAGCATCACAGGAAAACCCTGGAACTTTGGCCAGGTAAATTGATTCCTCAACTTCAGGAGAAATACTCTTGATGTATCCAAACAATAGCACACAGTGCCAGCTTTCAGCCCTCCTAATGATATCACGCTAAATGAGTTTGATTGAGTGCCTCCCTTTATAAGTAGAGTAACATTTAAAGTTTTTCACATTTAATTTATATCTAAGTTTTATTTGCAAATTTTAAAAATAAATTTTAAATAGTTTATACACCAATTGCAGTATATATAATATTAACTACTAAATGGTAAATCAGTGTTTCTCAACCCTTACTTACAGTTCCTCAGGTTGTGACGACCCCCAACCACAAAATTATTTTCGATACTACTTCATAACTATAGAGTATATGTATTTTCTGATGGTCTTAGGCGACCCCCTAAGAAGGGTCGTTTGACCCCAAAGGGTTCGCGACCCACAGGCTGAAAATCACTGTGCTAAATGAATGTTAATTTGTATTTATCAAGGGTGCTTTCACCAAGCTAGTTAGAAGGTCATTGAGCTGAAGTAGTCAGTAGGCTGATATTGATCATTTCGAGTCAAGTTGATAAGATTACATCCTTACTATTAAAGACAAATGGATAGTTCTAGATTTTTCTTGTAAGTATGAGTGTGGAAACTGACAATTATTTACGCCTAGCAATTGTCTTTGACATCTGAACTCAATTCCCCTTTTAAAAAACAATTGAATTATAAATTTGGTAGAGAATACTTGTTCAACAACAGAACGCATATTGATACAACCCCAAGTCAGTAAAAGAAATAATGTTCCTCATATATACTTTATATAATACATGTGTATATATTTGGCAGTTTGAGTCATGTATTCTTGACACGGCTCTCTACCTATTGGAAGCGGCCGGACTCAACTGGGCTGTGAGAGGAAACCCGATCCCTGTTGTAAGGAGAATATCAGCATTGGTAAGGCTTTGAAAATCAACATTTTATTTATATTGGCAAGTTAATCATGTTCATTTTTGTCACTATTTAAGGATTTACAAATACATCAGTTATAATTATAATGTTAAAAATTACCTTACTTGCCGAATCACCACTTAATTTATTGATATGTTTTTCCTGTTATATAAAGTGATTGAAATTCCGATTAAATGTGGCTGTGATTTTTACACTGCAAAGGTGAATAATAAGTAATATATAAAAAAATACTATCAATATAAAATGAAATGCATAAACGACTTTGTGTCCGATTTGCTATTTATCTATAAAGTTTCTCATCAGGTTAATTCCTCTGATGATGGCGGAGTCCTAACTGGAAACTGGTCAGGTGACTACACGGGTGGACGCTCCCCATTATCCTGGACAGGGTCAGCTGCTATTTTAGAAGAATTCTGGAAGACTAAACGTCCAGTGAAATTTGGGCAGTGCTGGGTCTTCTCTGGCTTGACAACTACCAGTAAGAATTTCCTCATTCATACTGACTAATTAGGCATGGAAATGAGTTCTGAAAATAAGGGGGAACGCATAAAATGTTTTTTTATACATTGCACTTCTGTTTATTCCATCTTAAAAATACAGAATGCATTTTTTTATTTCAAGCCCGCAAGACCTGCCTGTCTGAAAACTATTTATGATAATTTAAATTAGTGTACGCAAAGATCCTTTTGTATAGATCTACTGTATTTAACCCTTTCAGTTTGTCGAACACTTGGAATCCCAGCTAGAAGTGTCACCAACTTTGCATCAGCCCATGACACTGATGGTTCCATTACCATCGATGTACACTTTAATAGTGAAGGAGAAAGTGAGGATGCCTTAAACTATGATTCCATCTGGTAACTTGAAAATTTTTTATGTTTTTAAAATAAATACTTACACTTTGTAAGAATTTTTTTAAACTGACATAAATTCTTTATTTTAGTTTTTTTTTATATTTTTAGCAAAGAATATGTTCCTCATCCATGCTCTGATAGAATAAATTCAAAACCTTGACTGGTTCCTGATCATAATCATACTATGTTTTATATTGCTAAATAATTCTCAGGAATTTCCACGTGTGGAATGAGGCTTGGATGGCTCGCCCCGATCTTCCAGCTGGTTATGGTGGCTGGCAGGCTATTGATGCCACTCCACAAGAAGCTTCAGATGGTGTGTAATCTCAGTATTTTTTGGCTGGGATCAAAATCATAACCTACAGTTATAAGTAAAATTGGATTGCTATGAATACAGAAATTATTTTTACTACAATGAAACAAGTGTTCAAGCTCAATGTTTTCACCTCACACACATTATTTTCATTTTTTTTTATTTGTCTTTTCTGAGATTTCTAAAAATTCTTTATTCTCATACATTTATGTCAGGGATATGAGCAATGAAAATAAGACAAAATTAAAGATATTTGCTAATACAATTCAATTTTTAAATAATAATTAATGAAGACCAATTCAAAATATATCTATAAGTGGAAAAAAGTAGGAGCCATGAGACAGTATATAGCAACAACAAAGAAAAGCAGAAATTTATATTGACGAGTAACTTCAAAGACCCTTTCATGTTTTATTTACTGTAATACTTGTTTCTAACAGCTGTTTACTGCTGCGGACCTGTATCAGTAGCAGCCATAAAACAGGGAGAGGTGAACCTACCATTTGATGGTCCATTTGTATTTGCTGAGGTCAATGCAGATCGTATGTACTGGGCACCAAACGCTGAGGGCAAGCTAGAATGTGTTTATCTTGATAAAAACGCGTATGTATAAATATCTTCTTGAGTAGCTTCTATTTTTAGCTTTTATTCTTTCATAATTACATTCAAGCTTATAATTATAATAAAATGTACTTAAAGTTAAAGTATATTAAAAAGGATGTGCCATATTTTACCTTAATTTATATACATAATAACAATCATTGATATATTTTAAACTACCTGTTTAATTTCTTAAATCTGAACTTTAGAAAGAAGAAATATCAAATAATATTTGAAAATTAATAACATCTGTAAATGTAACTACCAGCACATTTTGTGAAAGATAACGCAATAGAATGATTTAATTTGTTTAGAATAGGCAAAAATATCAGTACAAAGGCCCCTAACTCAGATGAAAGAGAAGACCTAACTAACAACTACAAGCCAGAAGAGGGTAAATAAAAATACAAATAAATGTGAAAGCTTGTCTCTTTTCCCTATGTGAAAACTGTTTTTCTGGGTGAAATGTCTAAAAAAAGGGGGACACATTTTTACCGGAAAATTTTATCCAGATGTTATCACATTTTATTTAATTAAGTATAGGCCTACATGATTTTTTTTTAAATTTTAGATTACAGGAAGGAAAATAAAAACTAAATAAACTTATTGAATTTGTGTTATAAATTTATTACAATATTTAAATTACAATAGACAGCTGGGAAACAAAAAAGAAACATTTTTAAAAAAGGATTTACATAAAATTACACATTTATAAATTTGATTTTTAAAATATATCTGAGTGCTGTATTGATCAACTGTCCTTTCATACCAGGAACTGCTGATGAGAGAGCAGCTGTCCTAAGGGCAAACCAGGTTGGGTCCAACAGAAAAGATATCTACATGCACAGAGTAAATGTATGATCTTGTAGTTTAAATATAACTGATACTTTAAATTGTGGTCAATGCTTGAAGAATTCATTCCAATAAGATTTTACAAATTTCAAAAAATAATTATAATATTGAATTTGAATAAATAAAATAAAAAAGATTTTAAATGTTTTCTTAGGAAAATAAACTCATGGTTATTTTTTTTTTACATGAATTAATTCTTAATTTAAATATAAAATAATGTATTAGAAAAAAATTATTTTAAGAAACATGTCTTGATGTTAACCATATCAATTTTTATTACTATCATTATTTATATCCATTGTCACTACAGGACATTGACTTCAATATAGATCAAGATGAGAATGCAACATTTGTGGGAGGGGACTTTGTGCTATCACTCAGAATGAAGAACAGGGGAACTGAGAAGAGAGACGTCAGTGGTAGAATTGAAGTGAAGACAATGTACTACACAGGTGTTGCAGCAGATCCTGTCAAGTCAGAAGTATTTAATGGGACTGTGATCAATCCAGGAGAAGGTAAATTCAATAGGATAGAAAAACACTTTCAATGTTTATTTAACTTGAGTCCATCGATAATTTGAACATTGACTGTATTCTGATGAATCTTTAGTTGAAAGATCCACAAACTATGGCCTTTAAAGCTATAAGCAACCCTTTCAGAAGAATGGGGCTCTCGTGGAAAGTTATAAATGTTCCATACACTTAGGCAGAGATTTCACTTGAAGATTGAAACTAGAAACTCAGGTGTTCTGAGTCACAAATTCTATGATTATAAATTTTCCAGTAGCATGATTGTTAAAAAACAAAGTCACCTATTTAAACATCATAATACAGTGCTTCATTATACAGTGCATCATTATTCACCCTGTTTGAATTTCTTGATTAAAATGTACCAGCAAATTGTTTTCATGTTCTGTGTCTAGGAATAAATACAGTTATGTTAAAGAGCATGTCTGTTAGTCGATCCTATAAGGAAGGGGGAGGGGGCTTTTCATTTATTCATCATGATACTGTAGCCATCTTCGTTATTTTATTGTGGACCAGAAATCTCCCAGAAACTTGTGGCCACACAGGAGGACTATGTTGATAAACTTAAAGATGGCTGCATGTTGGATGTCACCATTTGGGCAGTAGTGAAAGAAACTGACCAGCACTACACCAAAAAGGATGACTTTAGACTCCGCAAACCGCATCTTACTGTCAAGGTGGGAATAATTCAAATATTTAATTCTTTTTACATGGAAATATTGTGGGGGTTGCATTTGGTGAAAGGGAGATTTAAAAGATATGGAAGAGGGGTGACTAAGTAAGTATAAATGATTTAGTCTAGATCTGTATATTGTTCAATATGTAAAAGAAAGCTGCTAAAGATAGATAAATCTTTTTTTTTCTTATTTTAATTTTTTTAGTGTGGGGGTTATCCATAAAGGATGGGGGTCACGAATATGTGTTACAAATTTGAATTTGTGATGCTGGTGAGAAGGGGGTCAAATATCAGGAAAAAAAGTGGGGTGACTTGTATAGATGGTCCCAGATCTGAATTATTTTATTTTTTTTTTTGCTTAGGCCCCAAGTGATGCTGTTGTTGGTCAAGAGATAAAAGCTGAGGTCTCCTTCATGAACCCATTGAACAGAGAACTGACCAACAGTTTCATAGTGGTGGATGGCGCAGTCCACTCACTTAAGTTCCCTCAAGGGTAATTTAAGAGTTTAAGCATAAAATAGTTGTATACACCATATTGAGATTTTACTAGTTAAAAAAGCAAATGATGCAATCTATTGACACTTAAGCCAAACATATTTAGATTATCACTGGGATTTTCTATTGAAACCAGTGAACATTCGTAAGCATTAGTGTCCTTCTAATTTTTTTAAATTGTATAACCTGACAGTATGAACTTCAATTTTGGGAATAAAATCCTAAAACATAAATAAATTGTCCTTAAAAAAATATTTATTTTATTTATTTTTTTAACATAAAATTTATTTTTTTTACCCACAGGAAAGTGGGTTCAAACAGCACATTTATTGCTACAGTCAATCTGACACCCTCAAAAGTGGGCGAGCAAGTATTAATTTTCAGTTTCAACTCTGATCAGCTGGAGGATATCAACACAACTCACAATATTAAACTGAGGAAAGCTTGAGTTATTTTTTTTGGAAATGGAACAGATAATAGACTACACCTGATTATTTGAAATGCACTTATAATTGATACTCATATCCAGTTAATTGCTGAAGATAAAATGAGTGTCATCTATCAGAGCATTCCAGGAAAGTGTAATTTCTGAAAACTCTGAAGCCATTATTCGTTTTTAAGTACTACCAAAATCACATTAAATTTTAACTGGAAATTTTACCATATTCATCAATATAATTTGTTATAATACCAAAAATATCCATTTTTAACAAGAAAATTTATTTATATAATATACCTATACTCTTGCTTCTTTGTATTTTATGGTCAATTTTTTTATGTATTTAATTTTAACTTACACATGAATTATTGCATGAATAATAATTGTATGCAATTTACAATTTTGTTTTTCATGATTGGAACAACATTTTTTTTTTAAAATTGATTGATAAAAATGAACCCCTTGATTACTAGCTCATCTTTATATGGAAAAATTTACTACCATCTATGCCATCAGAAACTCTAAAAAATTGTTTTGTCTCACTGATATTGAATGATTTTAGCAGTCTTCATGTTTTTTTTTAAATATGTAAACAGGGCTGAAGAATTGGGAAGTCAGGGTCCCAAGTGATAGTTTTCTGTAATTATTATTGGTGTCTGGGTCACAAAAAAAGTTTTACATAATGTCTTAAAAATATTCCTGGACTATTGCACATAAGTGTACACATGTAAAGTTTGAAGAGTCAGTGTCATTTGTTAATAATTTTTTTGTGCTTGAAATATTAAGTCTGTGCTGAAATTTAAAACCAAAACACACTGTGTGATTGAATTACTTAGACATTTACAGTTTGAAAGTAAACTATTAAATAGCAATTTTTTTTTCTTTTCATTTATACAGATAATATTAATCTGGAATTGACAGCTATGATTAGTAGACAAAATGACCTTAATATGTATGACCAACAAATATAACGACAATAATATGAATGTAGGGTTGTATTTCCTTTACTTTTACTATTATTAACTCTTTTTTAAATTTTAACTTTAAAATCTTTGAAAGTTCTTTAAACCTCTTTTCTCATAAGCATTAATTTTTGAGATTGTAATTGACATAGTCTGTAATAATGTTTTCACAGATTTAACTTCTATTAAAATTTTATATATTTAACCATTGAATTAAATCTTATTGAACATTTTTACTGTTAAAAAAAATAAACTTTTTGAAAGCCTTAAAGCAGTGGCGTAGCGAGGGGGGTGCGGGGGGTGCGGACCGCACCGGGTGACACCATTTTAGGGGTGACACCCAATTGAAAAGTTGCATATTTACAGAGCACACCCTGCTCGGCCTAACCAAGATTCATAAAAGGATAACCGATCACACCAACATTTTTCACAAATGTAACCAATCCAGATGCGTGCTTTATTAAAAGTTCAAGGTTGATGCGTCAGAAATGAGATAACCCTATGTTGAGTTCGGAAAAACACAGTCATTACTCCATGGCCATTTGAAGTGTTCGGCAACTTCCTTAAGTGACAGGAGGCTATATTTATCTAAATTCTGAGAAATATGGCTTTTCATTGATGCCAAATACGTGTGGTCGGGCGATTCAAGTATACTAATCGGTAAAAATTAAAAACAGTAAAAATGAATTTTTACCCATTACTAGGGTTAAAAAATATATTATTTTACAAATTGTCAATCTTTTAGTGATCAATTCTTAATTATTGAAATTTAAATAAAGTAAAGGTTTTGAAGACATGTATAATATAAATCAAAACCCAGAAACACTCAAAAATTAATGTTTTTCCCCGATTCGTCACTAGAATCGCCCCTTAACATTTGAGCACGATTGTCATATTACGACAGCTGGGTTTTACCTGCTACCTTTCTGTATTGTATTTTGGACAGTGCTCTGACTGCTCTTTTTTAACTGTCGTCAGTAATTATTTTGTTTGTTGTCTTCAATATGACAAAATTAAAGCATTTTTATTGTTCAAGATTATTATATCATGAAACACGGCGTGCACAAATTTAAACAGCCAAGTGGCTGTCAGCAGTGACATTCAAAAAACAGAATTGACAGCTGATAATGTTGATTCAAAACAAGATACTGTAAGTCTTATGGTTAATGACAGAAAACTGCACATTTTATCAGATGCTTCTCTCTGGAATCTACCAGTTCCAGATAATTTTTGGTCTAAAATTATTAAAATATGGAGTACCTCGTTTCAGAACAAGGACCGGACTATTCAGTGTAGTGACAAGGCAAAATGCGAAATCTAAAGTAGGCGTTCGCCACATCACAAAACTATGGCTCTACGGGATGATGCAAAATGGCGAGAAAATACTGCGCTCGAGTATGGTTTATTCACTTGTCAGTCAGAAATTGTTGGGTTTTTTTTTGCTGCAGATTGTTTGCTGTTAATGTTACAGAAAGAACATTCAAATTGGTTACTGGCTTTGATAAGTGGTGGAAACTGAGCCCAAAATTACAAAATCATGAGGCATCTGGAGAGCATCTATGTTGCCTTGAAAAGGCAGCAGGACTTAGAATACACAAAACAATTGATGTCGAACTTATTGATGTGATGAACAAGGAGAAGAAAAAGTTAAGGGATATCTTGCACAGTTTGCTGGATATCACATTGAATCTGGCATTTCGTTGTCACAACGAAGATGAATCTTCACTGAAACTTTCTTGAAATGGTTCAGATGCTATCTAAATATGACCCAATGCTTAAAGAGTATTAATAAGACTAAAGAGGAGTGCATCAACAGAAAAAAGCATCTGCATCTTACCTTTCACCAAAAACCAAAATGAATTTAAAAATGTCTTTGCAAATCATGTGAAGGAGATTCTTATCATGGATATAAAGGATGCGAGGATTTTTGGAATTGTGTTCAAAAGTACACCTGATATATCAAACAGTGATCGGAAGTCTGAAGTGATCAGATATTTGAAATCCACTATGGGAAAGTTGAGGTGAGAGAAGTTTTCTTGCATTTTTCCGGTTAAGAAGGAAAAAAGCTGATGACCTCAGTTCTGACATTCTACAGAACTACATCCACTCATCGATGGAATGTCCTAATTGAACACACTGAAATATCGTTGAAAAGGCTGTCAAGAACGCGCTGGAGTGCTCATCATGCTGCTTTTAAAAGTGTGATAGATGAGTTTGATGAATGTGTGGCGACGATTGAAACTCTGTGTGATCCTCTTGAAAATTAGGATGCAAAAAGCACAGCACAAGGTCTTTTACATTCTGTCTGTGATTTAACGTTTATCTGCTACGCTTAGCTTTGGGCTGATCTACTTGATAAAGTTAATCTTACACAGCAGTATCTGCAGACTAAAGGCTTTACTCTTGACAAAGTGGTGACAAATCTAGAGGTCTTAAGATTGTTTCTGCACTTGGTGGAACATACTATTGAAAAGTCACTTTTAAAATCAGACCAATATGGAATTTAGGTGGAGAGAAGATTAAGGTTTAAGAAGATAATTGCAGGAGAACAATTAATAGATGATGGACTCTTTCTGCGAGAAGAAAACAGTAGGGAGATGCTGGAGTGTATTGATCGCTTTCATTCTAAACTCTGATCAGTTCATCAGTGATCAAAGAACTAACAGATATGTTTGGGGCTGTTCAACCCGAGTCCAGTATCAGCAAGCGAAGAATAGTTATTGGTGTCCCTTCCAAAAATTAACTTATTTCTATAATGAGTTATCAGAAGATGAACTTTTAAAAGAAATACGAAGGCTTATAACACATCTAAAGGCAGCTGATATTGAATTTTCACGAATTTCATGGAATGGTCAGTATTTGATGTTTTAAAATTCATAGCTGAATGGGAATTCCTAGAATCTATTCCAATACTCTCGATAAGCCTTAAATTTGTTCTTGCGATATGTGTGTATGTGGCTTCATGTGAACGGAGCTTTTCAAAACTAAGGCTTATCAAGAAATAATTATGATCCACCTTGGGCAAGTCTAGGCTTTCTGATGTGGCTCTGCTATCAATTGAAAGTGATATAATGAAGGACATTGATTTTGATCCGGTGATTGATAGGTTTTCAGCTTTGAAGACAAGGAAATGAAAATTTTTAATAACGTAAATTTAATGTAAATATAACCATAACTTAACGTTGCTACAGTTTTTAAATACATTGGCCTTATGACGTTAGATGTATGTGTTTTTGTTCTTGTTATTTTTTTATTTTTTTGGGTGGGGGGGGGGGGTGACACCCCGAGTTTACCGCACCGGGTGACACCAACCCTAGCTACGCCACTGGCCTTAAAGGGCTGCTTTTGAAATAAGATTCTTCCAAAGTTTGATAAATGTGTACCAAAGGTCATGACCTCTTCAAAAGCTCATTTGTAGGGGGTATGAGGAAGGAAAATCAAATCTTACGATGGATCTAAATAAAATAATAATAATAAATTTCAAGAACACGCTTCATCCCTAATTAATGATCGAAGCGCGGTACAAAGTCAACCATATATGACAATTTATATTTTTCCACAAATAAAATACAGAACGCAAAAACACAAAATCTACATCGAG